ACCTTTGATTTTCAACCCATCTCCCCAAGATTATGTACAAGTGTAAATTATGCACAACTGTATCGAGGGTAATTGTTTTTTAGATGTTTCCTAAAACCTCTGAGGCTTCAACCTGTGGCCTACCTTTTTTTCTTTTTCATCTTTTTTTTGAGTGAAGGGAACTGTCATGGTTTGCATATAAAAGTTTATATAAATAATGAAATTTACTAATTTTTGTAACATTCTGTGGGGGAGATGAGTCGCAGGTTGGGTGTGCCTGTGAGAAATCCTAAGTCTAAGAAATAAACTGAGTGTAAGTCACTGTCCACCTATTCAGTGAAGTAGCTCTCTAAGGAGTACGAAGAGGTAGTTTGAGTCATTTATACACACTCATATAGAAACATACAAATAAACAAAACCCCTCACAACACTTGCAATTCAAACTTGTTAACTTAAGTACAAAGATACCTGAATTATACATAAATTTTTACAAAGGTGTTCCCCCAACCCAACTGTTCTAAACTAGTACACTTGCAAACAAATCTGAATTAAATGTCAGTCAATAAAATTCACAAGCCAGAAGCAGTTTAGTGCTCACAAGTTTATATTTTTAGGTTTGATAAAGATTCTTGTGTATTTTCTAAATACACAGACAAAACAGTTTTGGAAGTTTACATACATGTCTTAGGACACTTATATTAGGTAGGTAAATTACATTTTAAAAAATTGGTCTTCGTAAAAGATCCTCCCAGAGAGCTTTTACAAACAGCAGGCAGAAAAAAAAGTATTCTTTTATGTTTACAGTGTTTATTAAAATGCTGATTCTCCCACTTCATAATGGCCTCCTCAACCATCCCCTCTCCTTAGCCCAGAATTTTGTTCTTAACTGATGTCATAAAATTCAGGGCTAGAAGTCTTTTAAAGTGTGCTTATCCCTCCCTAATGCATTCTGAACTACCGAGAAATGTTTAAAACTTCGGTTGAAAGCAGGGTTACAGCAGGAAAAACAAATCCATCTTAAATCCTAGTATGACTGTAAGAAAATGCCTGTTTGTTAGTTCTAAGAGTGTGTATTATGTACCATATAAATTTAAGGATCCGGGTGACTGAACGGCACAAAAACTGGGGTTCATATCTAGTCCTTCGGTTTTAAAAAATTATCCTTTTAAAAATGAGAAGGCCACAACCCACTAACAGTGTGCGCTACACTGGAGTTGTGTCTCACTTAAGTCCAAATGATAAAGCAATTGCTTTATCAAGAGGAAGGAGTAGTAAGGATGTTTATCTGGGGGAAGGACACACAAATTCCTAACATAGCTATTTTATAGGCTCAGTATAAATCTCCATAGACAGACTCCTTTAAAGAGCTGTAATTCTACAAAAAAGAAAGTTGTTTAATGAGGCATTAGGAGAGCCTCTGAGAAAGCATGGGCTTCAGAGTCAGACCTGACCGAACCGCAGCTCTCCTGCAGCTGCGTGAAATTCGGCGAGATTCTGGACCCGCGAGCTCTCCTCGTCTATAACATGGAGACAGTAGCACCTACCTCAAAGGGGCGAAGTAATGCATACAGCACAGTGGCAAGTGTGGGCACTCAGAAAGCACTAGTAGCTTTTGGAATCATTACTCAGAAAAATGAAAGTAAACTTTTCATGCTGTTCAGAAAAATCATAAAAAATGCTTTTGAAGGTTTAAATTTTAACATTAAAAAACCCCTGGTTTTTCATCAAATTTCCCCCATAATGCACTATTCCAGTCATCTCTAGGCCTTATTATTGTACTGTATTAACACAAATTCCAAGTTCAAATCCTTTCATTTTCTATTTCCTTCCTCCCTTCCAACACCTTTTCTCATTTCTCGTCTCTTGGTTCACATCTGTAATGAAGCAAAATATATGACAGACCTAGGAGGTACCAGTGCTCTAAAAACTTCCCCGTCAATTAACTCATGCAGCTCACTCTTCACCAGAATGGCTCCATCTAAGTCAGCTCGTGTCCTCCTCCAAAAATTTCAAAACTATGCGTCCAGGCTCCCCCGCCCATAGGGTTTGTTTGTTTTTAAATAAGCTCTCAATTGCTTGGGATGCTAAAATTCAACAAACAAAAAACCAGAAAAATAAGGGCCAAGAACCATGACAAAGAGGGGCTCATACAGAAGTAACTGTCTTACAAATCCTAAAAACTATGGTCTTGGTTTATGAAAGGGCCTGTTACTACAGAGTGAATGTGAAAGTTTATAAACTTTCCCTTAATTAAAATTAAAAACTCTAAAATATTTTTCATTTAAAATATAAATTATAAGAGAAAACCTCACCAAACGTGCAACACATAATTCTGCCCGTTTCAGACAAAATTATGAGTATTCATTCCATTGATACCTCTCTGAGACCAACCGTAAGTCCTTAGTATCTATCAACTTCCTGAAATTGTTGTACTTTAAGTCAGAAAAAGAATACACTTAAAAAAATAGAAACGTCCAGTAGTATACCTTAGTACTAAAACTATTTTTTTTTTTTAAAAAAGATCTAGAAGGGAAATAGGCAGTCCCTCGAGATCATGAAACAAAATAAGTTAGGCAGTTAACAAGTACAAAAATCTGTTGATTCTGTTTCTGGTAAAATGTTTACTTCAAAGTAATTTTTATATAGGCTGAGGCTAATATATTCAAGAGTATAAACATTTTTTCCTTTGGATTATCTAAAATCAAAATTTTAAAATATTGTATGTCAGATGACTAAAAAATATAGCCAAATCTGTCACAATACAACATCAGAAATTAATGGACAATTATAGAATACTTTAAATTAACAGTAACAAGCCACCTGCATCAAACCATCTTTCCAACTGAAACCAAAACAAAAGCACAACAATCCCGTAGTGTACCAAGTGTGTATTTCAATTTACTGTATGCAACCTAACAAAAATTTGGTCATAATTTACCAGATATACAAATATGATTTAAGTAATAAAAGAAAATTCAGTTTCAAGAGAATAAGTTCGTATCTTGAAGAAAAGTAAAAGTACATTAAGAATGTAAAGCCAAGTCCAGTTTCTATGCAATAAGTGAACTATAGTCTAATAAAGCAGATTTAGGTGATTTTTTAGATATATATCTTTGCTCTTTAATATATATTTATATATAGACAGATCTACCAATTGTAAACTATGGTTTATTTTAAAGGAAAGGGATAATAGTGAATGAGAGAAATCTTTATACTATACTTACATATTCACAAAGCAGAACATTTTATGCTTAAAATACTTTTTCATTCATAGTGTCTTTGCCCAACTAATTTCTATTTTGGACCTCACTAGAATTACATTTTACGCATCTATCTAGAACACTGAGAATAAGATGTAGTCTTCAACTGTAAGCAAAAATCAAACCAAAACTATTCCTCTGTCAGGCTTAGTTACGTAGAAAGTACAAGTGTGGATGACAAAAGGTACAACTAACCGTGGAACTGCTTTTTTCTTTGATTTAGCCAAGCAGAAACTTCACTGCCTAACATTAAACCATTACTCTACTGAAATCAGAAAAACTTATACATCTTGTTAAAAAAAGCAACTTTCCAACTTTGACCAGATGGAGCACCAAAAGGATTGTCATCTGTCAAAGTATCTGCAATTTTCCCCACACAACTAGCATAATTTAGTTACCTGATATAAAATAGGAAAATATACTTGATTTTTATTTAAAAGAAAGCTGAAAATAGGATGTCCCTCAATCTTACATAATATACAATACGCTCCCAGTAAATGTTGCTACGTTAATACAGGAAACGCTGCTGAGAGTTCTACAATCAGCTAATTCATCACCTAAATATATCTAACAATAGCAACTTAATATACCACCTTTTTGTACCCTGAAAAATGTAGTTAATGATAAAGGCTCTCAACAATTTATCTGTAAGATTTTTGCAGACCGTTAAATCATGGTGACTACAGAAAGACTGTATCAAGGTGTAGTGACTTTAAGGAATGAAAAATAAATTAACTTAATAAATCAACAGTAATTTCAAAAACTCAATATCCCAGTAAGTATGAAACAAAAGAGAATGCACATTTTGCGTTAATTTTAATGATAAAAAGGGCACAGGAATAAAAACCTGATATTTCACTTATATTGCATAACAAGCTAACCAAACTGGACATGGAAGATAAATTATAAAACAAATCACTTTACTTATTGTTTCTATGACTTTTAAATCCACCTTCTGTCTCTCAAATAAGGCTGAGGTATAGTACACTGGCAAAAATAAGAGGCAAACAAGAATAGTGCCAAAGTAACAGATACCCAAAACCAAATATCATATAAAAAACATTATATAGTAACCATTTATCAGATTAGAGCAGCAGGAGAAAGTTACTTCTAAATCATAATCATTTTAGTGGTCTTTGTCAACTTTGCCACATTAACTTTTCAACATCATTCTTCATTTGTAAAATTCATGTCAAAAAAGGGGCTGGGGAAAGTCAGTCAGTTCATTCCAATAAATTACCTCTCCAGTTCTCATACACATGCCCATCAGCACAAAACTGAGAAATAATACCTAAGACTCGGAGATTTTGTTTTAAGTTATGAAGCAAATTAAAATGGAAAAATACAAGAAAATAGAACCAATGGGGTTGAAAAAGCCCCTCACTGAAAAATCTGTATTAAAAAAACTAAAAAAACAAAAAATAGAAACAAAATTCTACTAGTACAAACTAGCCTGAGTGGTTTCGTGGACACCATGACTGAGTCCATTGTCACTGTACTTTTAGGAATGGATTTTCTTCATTCATGCTAAAGTGACACATGAATGTAAGCTATTAAGGACAGGTACTACATATTCATAGGACCCAAACAGTTACTGTATATCCTATAAATAAAAATATTTCACTTTGATAACTGACTGAATATGTGGGGACTCCATGTAAGCAACCACATGGTTGTTTGCTGTACAGTCCTGTGCAAATATAAAAAAATTTTTTGCTATAAGGCTTTGACCCTACAGTTTTCACAGCAACATAACTACCATCCAGCATGTACCATATTTTGCAAGCCTTCAAGTTCAACAATCCAAATTGTCGATTCATGTTATGTCCAAATGCAGCATCCTTGAGGAGTTTAGTAAGTAGGTCAGTTAATCATCCAGGGGCATACAAACATCTCCTGATTCATCCCATCGAGGTGGATCATTCTGATCTTCACCGTCATCAACCAGCTCTTCATCAGCTTCTCGTACTTCGTTCTCCTCGTATTCTTCATCCCGAGGGAATTCTGTGTCCTGTCCCTGATCTACACCTTCTTGCCCTCCTGGTTGTGATTTATCTGCACAGTCTACACAAACACCATAGCGACGAGATCCATGTCTTATTCCAACACTGGCTGCTAACATGAAGATCTTCTTACACACCATACATTTGTATTTTTTATCCTTTGTATGCACCTAATTAAAAGGGGGAAAAATCCAATATAAGGACAGCATAGAAACAGAAGGCATGTGAACCACTCAAACCACAATGAGTGAATACACCAATGCTTTCGTACGAAGTTCAGTATCATCTCATATGTACATGTTTTGTTTAAAGCAATGTACGAATCATCCTTAAATTTGTAAATATCTTAAAATGCTTTAAACTTCACTGGCATAAACACAGTTTATCACAAAGTTGGTTGTATTCAAAACTACTTACCAAGGAATGTCTTTTTACATGTTCTCTTCGAGTAAACAGCTTCCCACAAATATCACAGCTAAATGATCTCACTCCCGTATGAATGAGCAAGTGCCTTTTTAGTGTTCGTCTGTATTTGGCTACATAGCTACAATGAGGGCATTTTAACTTGTTCACCATGATTAGAGATGATTCGCCTGTAACAATTAAAAAAATTAAAAAGCACTTATTAAACTTGCTATCAAGGTTTCTATCTCTATCTCTAAGAATAGCAATTAATATAGGGTTACTACTTATTTTTTAAAACCTAGAATATGGAAGCTTATTAAATGTTAAAATTTATTTTAAAATTGTGCCAGGTATAAGGATGCACGCGCCTGTTTGTAATCCCAAAACTCAGGAGGCAGAGGTAGGAGCATCTTGACTTTGGGGCTAGCTTGGGCTATACAGTAACTTCAGAGCTAGCCTAGGTTAATAACAAAAACTTGTCTCAAAAAACACAACAAAACAAAATATCAGAATTCTCTGTTTGTTGGGGAGGGGAGGAAGGTTTGGAGGGAGGGTGGGAGAATGGGGGAAAAAAAGAAACAAATTATATTATACATAGGTATAAATTCTCTATTATGAATGTGATCATTACATATATCTAAAATGTAACAAAATCTGACTGGAAAAAAAAAAATTCTATTTGGCTGAGCAATACTTACCATTTTCCCAAGTTTCTTGTTTTGGCCAAGAGTCTGGCAATAATCCGTACTTGAAATCATTTGAAGCACCTGGGAGCAACCCATACTTGAAATCATTTGAGGTGCCTGGTAGTAATCCATACTTGAAATCACTTGACAGGCCAGGTATCAAACCATATTTGAAATCATGTGAAGTACCTAGTACAATAAAAAAGTTGATTGTGAAATAATAATGTAAGTATCTGTTTCCTTAGAGTCAGAAAAACAAAATACATTTATACTCTAGAAACAGTAATATACCATCTTAATATAAATGAGCTAAGTAAAAAAACTCTTAAACTTCCAGAACTGTTAGCTAACTCAATCTCTTTCCTTTATACAATACCCAGTATCAAGTATTTAAATATAGTTAACAGCAAAAAGACTGACAGGGGGCAGGAATTATCTCCCTGAGGATTTAATTCCATTTTTTTGAGACAGGGTCTTGATAGGCAGTTCAGGCTGGTCTCGAGCTCACTTTGTAGCCCAGGCTGGTCCTGAACTGGAAACGATCCTCCTGCCTGAGCCTCCCAAGTGCTTCGATTAATTCCAGTTCTGAACTGGCATCTAATTCCTTGGATTGCAGGAGCTTTACACACACAGAACTCCTCACAGCTACTGCTGTTCTAACCCAATCACTGATTCTAGCCTCAGGATTATTTTCAGGGGCTGCCAACTTGTCTCCCAGCTCCCCGACTGCCGTTCCAGAGTCTGTGTTTCACCCAGCAACAAAAGCTTCCTTTAAAATACCAACTCAAAGCCTGTCACCCTCCCATGGGAAGGATGAAACTGAAAGGGTTACACACCTCACTCCCAAGTAAAAAGCCAATCTCAACGCCCTACTGCACCTTACCCGGGGAGTCCCTGCTTCCAAGCACCCACCTTGATGACTCCATTCCAACTCTCTAGGCCTCTATGTTGTTCAATGGTAAGCAGCCTCCCACTTCAAGGCCTTTATTATGCTTCTGAAAACCACTTTCCAAGATGTATGCATGTACACCTCGTTTCTGCAACAGTACCGGCTCAGACCCTAATCCAAAACCCTGACACCTGAAGTGCTTCCCTACCTGACTTGTGAGCACCACAAGGTGCTCAGTTTCGCACCCTCAGACTGGAGAAGTTCCACTTGTAAGCTCCACACAAACACTGCGACACCTAAACAACTCCAACATCCTAAAGCACTTGTGAGCCCAGGCATTTAGGGTAAGTTATAACTCAACCCGAAATAAAATTTTACTCCCAGGAACTCTGTGGTTTTAATAAAAGAATGCTTAACAAAGTGTATTTCATAAAAATGCACTTTCTTGCATTTACTAGACACTTAACAATAGAGAAATTTAAGATATTCTCCTCTTTGGCGAAAGCATCAATACCCAATTAAGTAAAAAGGTCCCTACTGTATGTTTTTAAATCCACTGATATAAATTGTTTTGTACTTGGAATACAACTTCCCTACTTTTAATGTCAAGAAAGCCCTTTGAACTCATATATAATTTAAACATAACTGCTGCTCGGGAGAAAGTTTTCAGAATTCCAGAGTGAAACAGCATGTTCATATATGTAGGAAAGAGACTAGGATGGCAGTGGCAGCCTGTGGAGGTCAATTAATTTTCAGTTTCAAATTTCTAAACAGTTGTAGCGTCATGATTCGTATTTCTTATCTAATTCATTAAAAAATTAGGCTCTGAGAGAACAAGGAGTGTCTCTCTGATCTTTGTAGTTCTAATGTCTAAAACATAAAAATTTCTTCCAATTATTTGTGGAATAATCGTATTTAGCAAAAGCTACACCATGTAGCTGATTTTTTTGTTGTTGTTTGTTTTTTGAGACAAGGTTTTGCTATGCAGTTCAGGTCAGCCTTGAACTCACTTTGTAGCCCAGGCTGGCCTCCAACTCAAAGTGATCTTCCTGCCTCAGCCTCTCGAGGGCTAGGATTACAGTGGTGCACCACCACGCCCAGCCAGGTAGGTAATTTTTCACTTGCTCAAAATCATGTTAGATATTGCAACGTGTTCAATTTAATATTCACTACATTGACAGACTATACCTAAACTTTTATGGACTGCTAATCAAAGATGCAGGATTACGTATTTTTTGATACCTGAAATTACATTTTTGTATAAAACATGCATGGTAACAGGTAAGAGACACTTTTTAGAATACCAATGAAAGTCTTGCCCTAAATTTCTTACATCTCTTCTAATACTCCAAACTAGCAAAGATTATTTATAGGAATTATAATAGCCTGAATAAAGGAATTGTCACTGTAATTCAATACACTTATGGCATTACCATTAAGGTAATTAAGGATCTACTCCAAATAGTTTAGTGTTCAATATCTTTCTAGATACATTATTCCACAATGGCAAATTAAGGAGAAAGCAATGTTTCTGATCTCCTAAGATATAGATTATAAGACAAAGGCTGATCTCAGATGCAAAAATACTAATGGGTGAAAATGACTTCTTTCCTAAGAGAAATGACTCAAATCAAGGGTTGACATTTTTTGTTTGTTTTTTGAGATAGGATCTCACTATGTAATTCAGGCTGGCCTTGAATTAACCATGCAGCCCAGGCTTGGCTCGCACTTGCAGTGATCCTCCTTCCTCAACCTCCTGAGAACTGGAATTAAAGGTGTGTGCCATGATGCCTGGTACAGGTTCATTCATTTGAGAATACAATAAATGACGTGGATCCTTCTCCACAGAAAATGCTTATGAATGTGAATTCTTAATTTTATGCATGAATTCACATTGCCCCCATGGAACTCATCCTCAGACCACATTTCTAAACCAAGAAAGCAAGTGTAATACTCTTGCTATATTACTACTTTTCTGTACCAACCAAAGAAATCTTCAGAATTTAATGCATTTGATCTAGGGCTAATTTCAAAACTAATTCTAGTAATTCTCTTCAACAGTTAAGAGAACCACCATCAGGCCAATCTCCTTCAAAACTGGCTTAACCTTGCCATGATGGCACACACCTGTACTACCCGCCCTTGGGAGCTGAGACAAGAGGACTGCTGTGAGCTCCAGGCCAGCACGGTGAGACTGTCTCAAAAAGCCAAACCAAACCAAACCAAACCAAAGTCAAGCCAATCCAACCAAAACAAAACAAACCAAACCAAACCAACAAACAAACAAAATAATCTATGGCTTAATTTTGTCATTTAGAAGCCTGAGTTCTTTTTCTAGGAGTACCCTAGTTGTCCTCCCTCCCCTATCAACTTTGAAAAGAATTTCAAAACTACAGAAGATAAAGCATCAAACATCCATAACCCTTTAACAGCGTTAACTCTGCCATATGTTCTCCTTGTGTATTCACATATACACACTTTTACAAACTATTTTACAACTTTATTTACTTCAAGCCCAAAGCTGCGTATCGTCTTCTAGAGCAGTGATGGCGAACCTCTTAGAGGCAAGGGCCCAGACTGCACCGCAAAACCTACTTACTTATCGCAAGGTGCCAACAGTGCAACTAAACGGGAATATTGGAGGCTGCAGTTTAGAAAACACAACTCATACATTAACATCTTTGTCTTAAAGACAAATAACGCATGCCACAGGTTTGCCACCACTGTTCTAGAGCATTCTTCAAACCACAGAAATTTAGCGCTGATTGCATCTTAACACAAACCGCATATCCACATTTACAGCTCTTCCCAAAATGTGCCCTTTAACGCTCAGGTAATCAAGATCCACACTACATTTACACTGTCTCCTTTATTCTGCCTATCACAACATGACATTAGAGTTTGGGACGCTGACTACATGCAAGATTCCCTTAGGTTTGTCCAATTTTTTTCCTTTCATAACTAGGTTCACGTTAAAACATTCTGCAAGAATACTACACAGGTAATGACGTGCCAGCCAATGCTGTTACTTAATTTCAGCGTGATACTTAATTTCTTAGTGATACTTTTACTCAGTTGGTTCATATTAATGTTTCTCAGGTCTTTTTATTATAAAATACCTTTTCTCCCTTGTAATTATAAGTAATCCATGGGATAGTACCTGAGATCAAGTGAATATGCCATTCCCCAGGAACTTTTTTGTTTATTTGAGACAGGGTCTCACCATGTAGTTCAGGCTGACCTTGAACTCACTACGTAGAGTCCAGAACTTGTAGCAATCCTCCTGCCTCAGCCTCCCAGAGTGCTGGGATTACAGGCGGGATTATAGACGTGTGCCACAACACCTGGCTTTCTCACCAACTTTCCAATCATAGGGGAACAAGTCCATTAATAGTGGCTTAACAGCTGGGTGTGGTGGCACACACTTGTAATCTCAGCACTCAGGAGGCTGAGGCAGGAGGACACTGTGGAGTTCAAGGCCCTCAGCTACAGAGTGAGCAAGGCCAGCCTGAACTGCATGGAGAGACCTTGTCTCAAAAAGACTTAAAAAAGTTTTCTTTTCATACTTTCTCACTCGTAACACACTCACAGAAACCTTGTTTTTGCGTGCATCCAGGCTTCTCTCTTACACAGTAGAACTGGTGTAAGTTGCTACATTTTCAATGGCCATCAATATTTACACTACAATTTTTTTATCAAAACCAACTAAAATACATTAGTCAATTGCTCTGGTCATTTCTATTCCCATTTCACCTATAGGAAGTCATAAGTTATATAGTTATATAGGAAGTTATAAGCTTTATTAACTACCTTTGATATTTATAAATTTTTAAAGTTCTAATAAATAAACTCCCATTCATCTTATTATAGTGATACATGCATACCTATATTTATAGCAGCATAAGTCACAAATCTAAATCTATATTTAGTTAAATCTTAGAAGCAGCCTATGTCTATCAGCAGATGAAGAAAAATGTGTTATTTTTACATGATGGAGCACTACTCTCCCATGAAAGATAAACAAGTCATTTGTGGGAAAATGGACATACCTTGAGACCATAATGTTAAGTAAATCAGACATGACCCTAAATATTGCATGGTTTTCTTACATGAGAAACCCATAGTACAAACAAATTAAAGAGCACAATAAAAAGAAACAGGTAGATAGATCTTTTGCCAGAGGAAAAGGACCAAAGGATGGAGGGAGAGGAGGAGGAGGAGGGGGATGGGAGGGGATAAAAAGATGTGTTAAAGCCGGGGATAATGACAGTGCCTGCCTTGCAAGCACAGCGTCATGAGTTTGAGTCCCGGAACCAAAAAGAAAAGTGTTATGTACACGTACCAACTCCTCATGATGAATGTGTACTGAAAATATGCACTAGTAAAAATCTGAATATTAAAATTAACCAATCAATAAGTCCCCCAAACAAAACCAGAAATACCAATTTGTGTTTGCCAAATTTCCAAAGTCATCATAAGCAAAGCTACCACAGATTAAGTATTTACAAATATAAGGTAAGACACTGCATAAACCCTCAGGAAAAAAACAAGCACATGCCCATCTTCCAATCCTCTTAAATGTACTCTTGCTAAAAATTTTACTGTACCTACCGGCATCACCTCCATCTTGAGCACACCAGGCTTCAGCCAATAGACTTGCATTTACACCGTCTGGCCCTGAGAACAGAGCACCATCCAAATCTGAAAAGGACACGCAGACGAGTTTACTTAAAAACCACACTACAGCCACCACCCGAAGTATCACTTTCTCTTTCAATTGTTTCTTATGCAGACTAAATAGGGTTATCTGCAAGTACTGGAGATATACTACATGCTGAACAACTGCATGGTACAGAAGCAAGCCTAAGTCAGTACAAAACAAAGTGAACTCAAGGGGAGCAATCCGTGCCTGCCTTAACCACCTAGCAAGTTTAGCCCGAGTGGCACTCAGGGCAGTGCATCTGTTTACTTCCTATCCCAAGAAAGCGCGGCTTGGGCGGATGTCCTTTCAACCAGGATTCTTGTTTGCACTCCATACACTAGCATGCCTGTCTGTATTTTAGAGATTATTTTCTGCATACTTTTTTATTTAGAGTGTTGTATTTGCATTTGATGTTTGTTTCTAATGAAATCTAAATAAGTAGTTCTGGTCATTTTCTTTTACCAATTCATGTTTATTTTATTTGTGAAAAATAATCTGTAATTTTGTGCTATAATCTGTAAAAACTCTTACTGTAAGTACATTAGATATAATTTTTATGCTTCTCCAGAACTCAGTGATACTCTTTTACAACGAACAGACACACTCGGGACACAGACTGAACAGAAGGGATTTGCCAAAGAAAGACACAAACTGAAGAAAGAAAGAAAAGTCAGCACATCAGAGAAGTCTGTTATAAAATGGAAAGAAAAGACATGTCTTTATTGCTAACTATTCACAATACAAAAATGACAGAACTTGAAAGAAGAAACAAAAAATTCCGCTAGTGGTCAATGATTATAATAATTCTATGGGTGGTGTACACAGTTGACCAACATCTAATAGGATGTCCTGTAATCAAAAAACAAGGAAAGTATTATAAAATATTTATGTATCTTCTGGACCAAACAATATGGGATTTTGTTATTTTTTCAAAACAAGGAGGTTCAAAAAGTCATTTACAATTTAGACAGACCAAATAACTGAAAAATATGAGATAGCAGGACATCCACCATTGATATCTTCACCACTGCATTTAGGGGTAGAGGTTTTATTGAAATTATATCACCCACAGAAGGAAAGGTCAACATGGCTGTGTACAGTGTGTTGATCAAAGACAGACAATAATTCAACAGCAATTCAGAAAGATACTAGATACTACTGTCTAGACTATAATGCTGGTTATTGAATGTTTTGAGATATACCATACACAGAAAGATTATTGCATGAAGTTGTTGTTTTAATACTTCCTGATGCCAGGCATGGTGGTGCACTCCTGTAATCCCAGCACTCTGAAGCTGAGGCAGGAGGATCACTGGGAGTTCAGGGCCCGCCTGAACTACAAGTGAAACCCTGTCTCAAAAAACAAAACAAAACAAAAAGTCCTGTTATATTACTCTATAAAAATTAAGAGAAGGGCTTTTAAAAAAAAAAATTAAGAGAAGGGGCTGGGGATGTGGCTCAGTGGTACAGCTTTTAAGGCCCTGGGTTTGGTTCCCAGCACTACAAAAATAAAAAACTAAATAAATAAAATAAAAATTAAGAGAAAAATGGGTCAGGGATATAGCTCAGTGGCACAGCGCCTGCCTGGCAAGTATGAGGTCCTGAGGTCAGATCCTGGTTCAAAAAAAGAGAGAAAATATGCAATTTTTGGACATCCTGTAAATAACTGAGACTAGTAAGTGGTTATATTTTTCTAATATCTGAAATATATGCTTTCCAATTATTTGTTAATAAAGGTAACAAATTATAACTTGTAACTGGTATTTTTGACTTGTTTAAAATATCTGGAAGACTAATGCCAGAAATCACTACATGTGCTAATACCTTCCATTAAATATTATTCATTACATGTAGTAACAGGGTGGAAGATACACCTAAATATTTATGAAATGATCATCTAAGGTTCAGACATGGTTTTCAATCGTAAGAACATGGGCACCCTGAAAACTTAAGTACTGTGTACCGGTTAGGAATGAGCAGTAAAAGTCAAGGTGCAAAAATAAAGTTTTAAAAAAAAAGTCAAGATAAATTAGATGCTGATCCTAGCCTTGTTGCTGCTATGCGACTGTCTGTCTGCCTGATTCCTCAATGACATTCACAGTATAAAAATTCAATTACTTAAACTGCCAGCCAAAGCTGGCATGGTAGTGCATGCCTGCAGCCCCAGCACTCAGATCACCTCAAGGTCGGCCAGCCTGGGCTACATAGTGAGTTCAAGGCCAGCATGAAGTACACAGGGACACACTGTTTCTTAAAAAAAAAAAGTAAGTCAATTGTTATGATTATGATGCTTCTAATTAAGTATAAAAAACATTACAACAGGTTCATAGTTCTGTACTGGTTCTAAAGACGACAAATGAAGCTAAAATAGTAGGCAAACATTTCAGAAAAGAGGTCATTGTTAAGAGTTAATCCTAACTCTGTACGGAAAGGATGGGTTGAAGCAACATGAAAAGCAACATAAAAGGAAAAAAGGCAAGCTAATGAGAGTAACCATTTGGCTGTAAACCTGTCTGTAAATCTGTCCAACTCCACTGCCTTCAGCCAGGTACTCCAGACTACTCTCTTACTAAACTAGAGGAACAAGTTCTCTTTGCTTTCAAATGATGGTGTTCACACTTCTATTCATTTCCAAGACGCATTTATTTCATGTTCCTAAAATGTCCATTTTTAAATTGGTTCACCACAGCTTTTAGGATGAACTTCCAATTTTTTTTAGTTTAATGTCTAGGTTTCTGCTCTGGACTCCATCACCTCAACTGTCCTAAACCCGCCCTCTATCACGCTAAGCTACAGTCCTAGTCTGCTCTGTTTATTGAGACGGTCTCCCTACTTTGCTCAGGCTGAGCAGAACGGATGACCCTCCCAGTGCTGGGGTTACAGGTGTGCACTACCATTCACCCACTTCTGAATATGTTTTAAAATATCCTTTAACCATCACCACCAGGCACCTTTCATTTAAGACATTTCGTACCACCATCCTTGATTCCTTTGGCTTCCCAATATCCAAAATTAAAAACTGAAAACAAGCTATAAAAACTGTAAAGCACAAATTTCCTATGATGAATGTGATCATTATATATACCTAAAAATGTACCAATAAACTTAAAAAAAAAATTAAACAAAGATTCTCTGTACTTATTAAAATAACACTTAAGCTGGGTGAGGTGGCTCATGCCTGTAACAAGCCCAGCACTCTAGAAGCTGAGGCAGAAGGATTGCTGTGAGGCCAGCTTGGGCTACAACAGTGAGTTGGAGGCAGCCTGAACTACACAGTGACACCCTGTCTCAAAAAAATAAACAAAACAAAAACTCCAAAGTATTTAAATAAGCAAATAAATTGTTATGTAATACAATAGGGTCTCACACAGTGATGGTTCTACTGTACAGTTATAAAGCTTCAAAATTACAGAACTTCGGCACTGCACGCGAGGACAGTGGGATTCCACGACTGTGAAAGAGTAGTATAAATGGCGGTCAGCTATGCACAGCAGGTCATACCAAGCCTTGTACAGCTGGGAAGGACTTGGCCTTTTTTTCAGAAGGGATGAAAGAATATGTATCTATGTTTTCTTTTTTCTTTTTTTTTTTGTATCTATGTTTTCAATGGTACTAGGAACTGAGCCAAGGGAGCATTGAGCTATATCCCTAGCCCTTTTTATTTTTGAGATAAGGCCTTGCTAAATTGTTCAGACTGCCCTTAAACTTGTGATCCTCCTGCCTCAGTCTGAAAAGCTGGGATTACAGGTGTGCATCACCATACCTCACTGAATTAAAGGATTTTAAGTAAGAAGTTAAATGTTTTAAATCATTTGCCTTTTAAAAGAACTATTTATTATCACTCTGCTATAATGAATTAAAGGAGGGTGAAAGGATATAGCCAGGCGAGTTATTTTAGCATCCAGACAAGGGCTGAAGGGGACCTTCACTTTTTGTTGATGGCAATGACAAAGAAAGTGGATGAATTTTAAGAATGTTTGGGGTTAGAACTGGGCTTGGTGGCAGACTGAACATTGGGGGAAAGGAGGTAAGATGAAGAGGGAATCTAGCCTATCCATGCAGTATTAATGGTAGGAAAGGAAACCAAGGAGGTAGACCACAGAGGGGTGTTCGATGTTCAGATGTTTAGTTGTGAGCACAGCATATGTGTGGCACACCTACAAGAGAGAGATAGGGTGGTGAGTTAGAAGATTCAGCTTGGTTCGGCCTAGCATTAAATTCCACCTCTACCACTTCCCAGCAAACAGTCCATTCTGCCTCTCTAATGCAGTGGATCTCAAAGTCCCTCTATCTGTATCATCAGGGAACTTTGCTGTAAAGGGAAATTCTTAGGCCCACCTAGACCTACTGAATTGGTTTGGATGAGAGGCCCAGAAATCTGTATTTTAACAAGCCTTCTAATGACTCTGATGTTTACTAGGCTGAGTAGAGTTCCACTGTAAAGATGGGAGGAAAAACGGCATCTCATCTGATCTCAATTTTTTTTTTTTTTCATTTTACTTTCCAAGTACAGAAATTTTGCAGTAGAGGCTATAGATCTGGCATTCGAGCTGGAAATGTCTGAGTTGTCAGAATATAAACAGCAAACACCATCACAGCAGTGAGCAGATGAAGTCATGAACAAAGAAGAAAAACGCTGACCAAGTATACTGAAGAATTCTACCATTTAATGAGCTAGAATAAGACGTAAAAGGCTTTCAGGGAAAAAGTATATTGTGTCAATGCTGCCTAGAATTAGAGGTGGGAAATGAAAATATGTATTACTTTCATTCAGCAAGCGCCTAGATGCAGGGTGTGATGGAGCACACCCATAACCTAAGCACTCTGGGAGGCTAAGGCAGAAAGGTCAAAGTTTAAGCCCACCGTGTGCAACTTAGCCATCAGTGGGATCCCATCTCAAAATAAAAAATGTTTGAAAAGGGTTGGGGGTAATACAGCTCAGTGTGAAGGCCCTAGGGTTCAACCCCCAGCCTCCTATCCTGTCAAAAAACAAAATAAG